AAAATAACACTACTCAATACATTCACGGAAGTGTCCGGTGTCCCCCCCCTGCACCCCCCTCTTTCACTTTCCACACCTTCCTCCCCCCGAACCTACAACCTCTCCTCCTTCCTCCCTCTCTACCTACCTCCCTTCCTCTCTCAACCATTCCGTCTGGTGCAGTTGGGGTATCCACTGGGCACCTCCTTAAAAAATCACATATAGATCTACAATACATCAATTTATATACATCTATCTATTCCCTTTCCCCCCTCCCCCCCCAGGACTTCCCAGAGCTGAACCAGGAAATAAGCACACAATAATCCAATTCTATCCAAAGCTACTCATTATTACTACACACTAGTATAAACTTACTGTGACTCTAAAATAACATTAAAATACATACAAATTTTATAAATATAACAATATTTGTTTTTGTGTATATATGTATATAAAAAATTTTTAATCAAAAGCTACATGATAATTATTCAGTTCATATTTTCTCTGAATATAATCTATCCATCTTCTCCACATTGAGATAAATTTCTCCTGAGAGTGATCCTTCAGGTATGTGGATATTTTTGCCATCTCTGCAAAATACGATACCTTCTGTCTCCAATCATCCATAGTTAGTAACGTCTTCTTTTTCCAATTTTGAGCAACTAATGTCCTTGCTGCTGTTATACAGTACAACATCAATTTCGTTTCTTTTTGATCCAAATTATCCATAATACCCAATAGAAATAGCTGCGGTGTAAATTTTATCTTTTTCTTAAAAATCTGTTGGATATTCCACTAAATCTTAATCCAAAAGGCTTTAACATCCCTACATGTCCACCAAATATGATAATAAGTTGCATCCATATTATCACATCTCCAACATTTTGGTTGCAAATTCGGATACATGCAAGACAATTTTTTGGGATCCAAATGCCATCTATAAATAGGATAGTTCTGAAAGTGATAATTGGTCTTTATTTTGAAGAGTAGAATTTCCAGGCTTAGCTGAATATAGGCTCTGCTTTACAATCTAATTCTAATATGCAGTTTATGATGATATATTGCTAGATTTTGAAGCTCACTTACTTTCAATTTTGCCCACAGAAGGTAGCTAGAATAAACAAGTAAGAGGTTTATTAATTATTTGCATTGCACGCTATCTTGCTTCAAAAGAGTTTTGACATGAATTTATATACTACTTTGCTCCCAAGATTCTCTGATTTTACAATAAAATTGAAAGTACAATAGATATAAATTAGATAATCTGAGAAAAACAGGACTCCCAAATGGCTTATAATTATCGCAACAGTATTAAAAGTCAATTGCTGAGCAATGACTACAACAAAACCATTATCTGAACTCTGTGGAAAAAAAGTCAGGATTTAAGTATTGGAGAAAAGTATTCCAGATGAAGGGGGCTACCTCAAAGAATTGCCTTATTGTTTATGTCCCTTTGATTTCCTTTAAGGATAAGAGTGATTAGCATATCTTATGCTTGCACTGAAATGATACATTTATTCTTAAGGGTAAATTGTACAAGGATTTATGGGTCAAAATCAGAAGACTTGCCTCATTCCTTTGCCTGCCTGGAACCAGTCTGTCTTATCCAAATTGACTTCCCAACTTGTATATAGGTTTCAAATGAGGACAATGATATGCCATTATTAAGACAATTGAAAATTTTCCTATAATCAAAGAAATATACATTAACTTATTTTTGTATGCTTTGTGTTTCCCAGTTATCCATTGTACATCAGCAGTAATGTCTTGTATCCCTCAGTCTTTTTAAAGCTGGTGTGACCATCTGGCATCTCTAGTTTGCATTGGATGGTGCCAACCATTATTGGCATGTAAAATATAGCTATTGTATGTTAACATATTGTGTTAACTCTTCTTTCTTTGATATTGAAATTTACATCTTTCAATCTAATGGCTATAGTGTGGTTATCCAGATTTGGTGAAATAGTTTGGTTAAAATATTTATTGATTCTTCTATTGCCTCCATATTTCTATAGATATTCCATCAAGTTCTGTAGTCTTTTGACTTGGTAATGACTGAGTGCTGATATAACTCCATCTTCTTTCCTAAATGAAACTGGTTCACAATTTCAACTCACAACTTTCGCTTGAGGAGCAGCTAGCAGCAGTGTCCAAGAGGGCATTTCACAACTTCTGTCATGGTTCTGACAGATGAAACTCTTCAAAGAACTTCGAGGCATTGTTTACCTTAAATAATCTTTATTTTGAATAGCATAGCATCGGCACTGGTATAATCGAAGCCAAAAACTAAATTCCCCTCCCCTGAGCACATAGTATTAAAGTACAATATCTCCTCCAATTAACAGTCATAAATCACATTCTCCAATTAGTTTGAAATGCAGCAACTCACAACTTTCGCTTGAGGAGCAGAGTTTGGTCACTTGAGTAACTCTGGGTAAACATCAAGACAATCATGATAACACTATTACTTATCTTCCAAGGAGAATTCAAGATGCTGATTATCACCCTTAGAGCTCCTTAGAGAATGTGGTTATCACCTCCCAGTACACCTTCTCCCCTTTGGTAAAATCCAAAACAGTAGACTTTCTCATATTCTCTTAACAAAAGATTGCTATCTATAGGGAACACAAAAACATGCCTTTTTATTTGCTGTCTCGTTGCTATACTGTAAAAGTATATTGAAATGTCTCTCTGCCTCCTGATTTGCAAAAAAATCTCTAAAGACAATTGTTTTCTCAAATGTTAGAGCAAAATTGTTATGTCTCTTTGTCTGCATAGTAAGGAGGAGGGAGAAGGGTTTTGAATGTTTAATTTTGGTTAAATTTTATTGTGCTGGACCAGTAATGTAATCACCTAGCCAGAGCATGTATTAGCTATGAGAACTGTATGTTAGAATGTTTGGCATTTAAAGGGTTAAGCGCTGTCTCCTTAAGAGATGGCTTATGGGTAATGTAGTTTTAGCTGTTCAGTGAATCCTATGTTAACAAGTCAGTGGGAGTGGCTACTAAGTTCATCACAGGCTACATGCCAGCTTGGAAGGAATGTCTTTGTCTGAAATGAGCATGGGAATGCATGAGGAAAGACACCGTCTTAATTCACGCTAGAGTTGATATGGAGGAATTATTGTTTCTACCTATGTAATGGACAAATGTACAGCATCTGGATGCCTCTTCAGAATTGTAAGTTCTATTAAGAATTCCCGGATTAAATATTTGTTTAAAACCATTTCGTTGAGTTAATTGCCTGGACTTGAGTTACAAAGCATCTTAATTCAGGTTCCGGAATATTTATTTACAATTTTATTGTGATTTATTGCTTTGGGATTTGATTGATTAAATTGTTAAATGATGTATTTTGTTTTTTAATTAAAATTATGGATTTGAGTAACTATGCCATCAGCTGTGTAGAAGAGCCTGGAAATAAATATAATGATTAAAAATTGGTTTTCTGAAAAAAAAGGAAGCAAACTTGATATGTGATTTTGAAATAAATATAAGTTTTCAATATGAACAATGGTCTTTAAAATGAGTGTCTTAACCATTCAACAATCTTAAACTTGTCCAAAGTTAAATTTTAGCTTTCAAGTTTATAAATTTATTTCAATACCATATATTTTGATCCTCCATAGAAATTTTAATTTGCCGCTTCCGTCAGTATAAGGATGGGATGGAAGTCCCCCTCCTTCACTTTCAGAGGTATTTTGCTTCTTGGGGATCTTTTCCAGGAAATTAAGTATAGGATAGAAAAGGGAAAATCAGATTCCTCACCCAGTTTCAAGCACGCTGTTTACTATAGTGCTGGTTAGTTCTTTTGGACTCCGGTTGCAAGTAGCTTGAGCTGATCGATGTAATACAGCCTTTCTCCTGTCGGGTTAGAAGGCTTTCTCCAAGATGAATGGAATGACTGCCATCATTCCAGAGTCGCCGGGGCACCCTTCTTTCTTCACCTCCTCTCCGGGGCAGCTTGGACCCATTAGGGTCTCCAGGCAGGATGAAAGTTAGCTGCGGGGGTGCGACAGTCTGCAAGCATGTGACCAGTCACTACCGCGCAGGACCGGAAATCCTCAAAAAAAATCTCTATTTTTATAGGTACTGTTTGAAATAGGAAAAGTAATTTTGGTAAAATATTCATTTTCGCAGTAGCTATTCTGCCTAACATTGATAATTGTAAGTTTTTCCATTTTTCCAAGTCCAGTTTTATTTGCTTTAGTAATTTAGTATAGTTGTCTTCTTTTATTGTTGCACATCTTGCTGTTAGATATATTCCCAAGTATTTAACTTTCTTCACTATCTGGAGACCTATTTTTTCTGACAGTTGATTTTTTTTTTGCTTATCTGTGAGATTCTTCACTATAACTTTAGTTTTTTCTCTGTTTATCTTCAATCCTGCTACTTCTCCAAATTCTTCTATCCTTTGCAATAGTTTGGGACTTTTCTCCAATGGTTCCTCTAGTATCAAATCAAACAGTTTCTGTAGTGCTGATTCTCTCAAACACAGATTTGTCTATCAGTAAGATCAAATTGGCAAAATATATATTACTTTGATTACTGTAGTAACTCAAACAGACAAATGTTTCTTGTTAAAGCTACCTATAAGGGAAGACATATCCCTGAATCTTTAAAATGGGACCTTGGGAACTATTATTTATTTCATTAGATTTCAAAATGATCAATTCCATGACGATTCTGCATAGCTTACAATGTAAAACAATTTATAAAATGTAAAATATAAAATTTAAAGAAAAAATTGAAACACATCCTGAAGAAATACACTACTTCATGCTGCAGAAATATTGGAAGGCTACAAATAACATTTCAAATAAATTTGAAAATTGTATAATCGTATAATTGATAATTTTATAAATTGTGTTTTATATATATATATATATATATATATATATATATATATATATATATATATATATATATATATATATATACACACACACACACATATATATATATATATGCAATTTTATTTTGCTTGTCAGTGATCTGTAATTGTTTTCCTCTCTCCTTCAGTGGAATTTTTATACTGTGATTTGGCTTCTATGAAGTCCATATATCAATTTGTTAAAGAGTTTAAGGCAAAGAATTGCCCACTTCATGTCCTGATCAATAATGGTGAGTTTTTATTTCATTATTTATTTATTTATTTTGGTATGATATTCATCTATTCAAATCCATGATGTTCCTTGAATGAAAAACATGTATAGCCCTAGCAGCATAATTATGTCACTAGTAACAACCTTTTTACGCTAAAACTCTTATGCAATTAAATACTTTCCCCACACTATTTTTTGTCATTTCTTAGACTGTTCTCAGTTTTAGATAAACACGTAGGAATAATTGTATCAGTTATGTTTAGCTTATTTCAGATAATTAATGTCCTGCATGTTTTTCTTAAAATTCACAATTGTATAGTATTTTTAAAAAATTATACTGCTTTTGCAAATCTTCATTTTTTTTGTTTGCTTGTTTAGTTTTTGAGGTATTTAAATACTGGTAGCTGTAATGTACGCCAATGTGAAACTTTAAATTTCACATTATGGAACATGAAATTAACTTAGCATTGTGGGAAGAAAGGTTTTTAGTAGATGATTGAAAAAATCCACCTTTTCTTCCTTTAGTTAGAAAGTATCTAATAAATGAACTGCAGATCATGAAAGCTTCTGCTTTTTACTAAAATGTGTTAGTCAGAAAGGTGCTATCAGACTCCTCCTGAAATTACCTTGGGAGAAACTACCAGTCCAAAGCATAAAAGCCATATGGCCATCTGTGATTGATTAGTATTATGGTAACTCCAATCATGTATTTACTTATCATGCAATGTGATCCACAGATATTGCACACAGTTTGTACAAACATATATTCTAAATTATGCATTATGGAATCTTACAGACAAAAGTTCATGATTCATTGATTTAATTGCAGCAAATCAAGTTTGGCCATGTAAATAAACCTCAAAGCAATAAAATATTAAAACTCTCAAATGTTTTTGAAGCATAATGCAGCTGATTTAAAGTGAGTAATATATATCATATAGATTATATTTCATGGCTACATTGCCTCTTTTTTTGTTTCTGATTTACTCAACATATGAATATTTAGCACTGTAGCATGCAAAATAATTTGTCCTAACAAAATTTAACTGGCCTCAATACAGTAGTCCTCAACTTAGCAACTGTAATTGAACCCAGAATTATGGTTGTAAGTCATATTGGTCATTAAGTAGGTTGCCACATAACCTTGCCTAGTTTTAAACACTTTTTTGCAGCAGTTATTAAGTGAGCATGGCAATTGTTAAGCAAATCCATTGTAACTGATGGGCATTTTTTTCTGGAAAGTGAAACTAAACACTGGCAAAAAAAGTCATAAAATCACATGAAAGTAGGACCCTGCAAACAACTGTAAATGGGGCCTGTTTCCAGGCACCCAAAATATAATCACATGAGTTTAGGGAAGCGGCCACTGGAATTTCAAAATTAGCTTATAAGTAGTTCTGGGGAGGTCTGTCATAATTTTGAATGGTTGTTAAGTGACTACCTGTATGCATTTTCAGGCTTGCATTTTGCTTCAAGAACCAACTTTATGCTGCTTTTTAAATAATAATAAATAAGCAAAATATCTAATAATATTGCATGATCTACTTTTTAAAATGAAAAGCCCTTCACTTTCATTGATTTTCTTTCTTCTTGCTTTAATAAACAAATGGACATATGTATTATTCCTCATGTAACCTTGCTTTTTGCTGTCTAAAGCTGTTATACTACCATTAAGATTACAAGAAGGACAAAACAAACTTTGATCTTCAATTATTAATGAGTTCGTTAAGATGGAGTGTCTAGGACTTTGAATTTCTCCTTTCTAGATTTTCTAGCTGGTAAATTTAGGCTTTATGAGTTTTAGTTTAAATGTTTATATTTTCTCCTTTGCTAATTTTGAACAGCTTCCTTTCCTTTCTCAGATTCCAGTCTTACAACTACCCTCACTGGCAGTTCCTACCCACTTTTGGGGGGATTATGGAAAGTGATAGTGTCTTTATGTACTATTTATATAGCACATGAAGGAATGGGGATGCTTGATTCCTTCCCTTTTGTTGTCCCCACCAATCATTCTCCTTAACAAGAAATGGAACTATAGAAAAGAAGGAGACAAGTTTTAATGGATGAGTGGCAGATTTAGACATCTGGCAAAATTTGGTCCTAAATTTGTGCAAGTGTTTTGCAAGAACTTAACAGTTGATTAGATATGGTGATGATTATGTCATGAGGCTTGTCATTAATAGGGATAAATCAGTCAACCAACTATTAAATTAAGAAATTGTTTCTGTGATCCCTTAAACATATCTGTGTGTAATGAAGCTGCGGTGTCTCTGAATAATATAAGTTTCTAGATTTATATGCTTCCATATCTGTGAGGGGTCGATGGTGCTCTCTGAGCTTGCTTGTTTTCTTGCAGACGTTCCATTACCCTAACTAGGTAACTTCATCAGTGCTAGTAAGGAGTGCTGTTTGCTGTCAGTTTATATTCTGGTGTCTTGCCTGTCTGTGTGGGTGGGGGCAGTCTTAGGGATTCTTTGGTTGGGCTGTTTACCAATAGTCCTTTGGCAGCTTCTTCATTGGGGTATTGCTTATTTGATTGTTGGTCTGAAGTTGACCTTGGAGTTAATCTATGCTGATTTGAGTGCTGATTACTAGTGGGGAGGTGCTGGAGTCTTTTTCTCTTTTGGGCTATTTGATTGTCTCTTTTGCATAGTTTATAGATGTTGTTAATGTCTATGTGTCTATTGATGGCTGATGTCAGAGTGTCAGGCTTCTAGAAATTCCCTGGCATTTTTGGATTTGGCCTGGTTTAGGATTGTCACATTTTCCCAATTGAAATTATGGTTAAATATGTTGTGAAATTAAAGAATTTTCATCATGCCTTTTGACTGCCTGTTGGTATTCATGGATCCGTCCTGCCAGTCTTCTTCCTGTTTGTCCTACATAGTGGGACAAACCACCAAACTCTCCACAGAGGTGTAAGAAAATATTAGACAAAGCATCATTCCACAGATCAGAAGATGACAGGAACAGAATCAATTTACAACAGAAGACAGAACAGCCCTCAGAAACCTAAAAAAGGACCAGACTATCATCATCCTACCTGCAGACAAAGGCCGAACAACAGTGATTATGGCCAGAGTGCAATACTAACAAAAAGCAAAAGAAATACTGGAGGACAAAGAAACCTATATCCCTGTGAACATCAATAAAATACAAAAACTAGACAACCAGATCAAGAGAACCCTCAGTGAACTCACTAAGAAAGGCCAAATTGCCAAAGAAGAACATTGTGGATGAGAAGCAGTGGACTATTACAACCACCTGGAATCAGCATAGCACAAAAGCCAACTAATGCCCTTCAAAACATCCTAAGCAAATCAAAAGACCCAGCAACCTCAGAAGAAAAAAAAGGAGTCATCTACAACATACAGTGTAAGAACTGCAAGAACCACTATGTAGGACAAACAGGCAGAAGACTGGCAGAGCGCATCCATGAACACCAACTGGCAGTCAAAAGGCATAATGAAAATTTCTTTAATTTCACAACATGTAGACAGATTTAACCATAGTTTCAACTGGGAAAATGTGACAATCCTAAACCAGGTCAAATCCAAAAATGTCAGGGAATTTCTAGAAGTCTGGCACTCTTGACAAATCAGCCATCGATAGACACATAGTCTATAGACTATGCAAAAGAGATTATCAACCAACCCAAAAGAGAAAAAGACTCCAGCACCTCCCCACCAGTAAATCAGCACTCAGATCAGCATAGATTAACTCAAAGTCAACTTCAGACCAATAATCAAATAAGCAATACCCCAAAGAAGAAGCTGCCAAAGAACCATTAGTAAACAGCCCAACCAAAGAATCCCTAAGACTGCCCCCAACCACACAGATAGGCAAGACACCAGAATATAAACTGACAGCAAACAGCACTCCTTACTAGCACTGATGAAGTTACCTAGTTAGGGTAATGAAACATCTGCAAGAAAACAAGCAAGCTCAGAGAGCACCAAGGACCCCCCATTTCAACCCTAGCTACAAATATTCTCATTCATTGGTTCCATATCTGTTCTTAATGCTGCTACTGATTATTATCATTTTGTTTATTAAATTATTGATGCAAGTATATATTTACATCATAATCAATGAGGATGGACTGAGGATGAACTCCAACATGAGTCCCAAAGCTGGTCCCGGTCACCGAACCAGATTGAATCCTGCTATATAATCAGTCATACAATACCCTTTGTCTCTTAGATTGAATTACACAGATTCATTGCTTTATATTTGTTTTCTAACAATGTAAATAATTGGTCTACTTAGAATGAAATATAATCTGTTCTGATTGGAAGTAACTCTTCTGCTAGTAAAACATGATTTCTTCATTTTTTCTTCTTTTATTGTACCTACATACACTAATACTTAAGCTTAGTTTGATCAAATGTATTTCTTGTTTTTAGTTCTGATAGTAAGTTGTGCTTTAGATTTGTGCTTTTTGGAAAAGCCTGGACCATTTTATCAAAAAATTCTGAATTTTAGAAAATCATATACAAGACTAAAATTAATTTTAACTTTAACTCTACTCATTCAGTTCTCTACAGTTAATCTGAGCAAATAATACTATAATTTATGGTACTGGGTATTTTTTATGACACATTAGTTTAAAAAAATAAGCTTGGTTCCAGTAGATTTTGGAAAGTAATGGCAGACTGAAGATGGAAAGCTAATGATCTCAACAAAAAAGGAGCTGATTAACAGATTGGCTCCCTGGAATTTCCCGGATACAGGGTTCTCCCACTTCCTCTCTTAATTATTTTTTGAAGTTGATTATTAATGATTTTCTGGATATTAAGTCAATTTTCATCCTACTGCTAAAATGTCCTTTTTATGTAAGTTCAAGGATTAAAAAAATAAATTTTAATTTTTAGAAAACAGCAAAAAGGGGTTAGAACAGGGATGTCAAACTGCCTGCCCGTGGACTGGATGCATCATAGCGAACTCCCGCTCACCCCATTGCCAGCAATGGCAAAAGAGTTGCGATACGTCATGATACATCACATGACATTGCGAGTT